AATGACAGAGTGCAAAGTACCGAGTGTCAGTTAACTTTTAAAACAACTTCTTAGTTTCTGATGAATGAAGTTTGTGTATTTTGAGAATGAAGTTTGTGTATTTTGAGAATGAAGTTTGTGTATTTTGAGAATGAAGTTTGTGTATTTTGAGAATGAAGTCTGTGTATTTTGATGTGTTATCAGAGTATTCAACTTCACAGGGATAAGAACCAACTTCTGAAATTATTAGTGCGGAGTTGCGCATGCGCCTATGGAGAACAGAGGTCTTGTCGCCATCTTGTCTGCAGCCGGGCCCCTCCCTTTTTAAAAAAAAATCCAGTCCATCCACGTGTTTTGGAGATCTACCGTCACGTGGCAGGAAGTGGTCACCGCGTCACATGACTCCAGTGCGGAAGAGGTCGTCATCGTAAGAGCTGTGAGTTGGAAGATCTGACAAATGTGAAGAAATGCGAGTGAATCTGTGCAGAGGACAGCGTGTGTTCGTGTAGTTTGAGTTACTGAAGCAGCTTCATGTAAGAGGACATGTTTTCTGAACCACGTTCGATTCCCTCCGAGCTTTTATTCAAACCCCTCAGAGCTGCTCAGGTCGAGTTAACGGAGGAATCTGTCAATGGCTGCATGTGGGAATTCTTTTTTTATCATGACAGGGTTATTAGACATTCAGGTTATTTTCCCGTCATCTGAACTGTGACTTGGTGATGTTATTTCTGCAGCTCAGTGGCTCGTGTTCATTTTCATGATGTCCTCGTGTTTTCTCAGATCGTTTAAAGACTGAAGATGTCGTGGATCAAAGAAGGTGAATTAAACCTGATTGAAAAGATTTCAGCCAATGTCCTAAAGGTGAGTGTGAATCTGTGTCGTTTAATATCTGTGTGTGTAGCTCCAGGTTCTGTTTGTGTCACACAGATATGCACATTTCTGGAGAAAAAGCAAATAGGACTGTCAGCACACATCGATCCATTCACACATCGTATGCAGCAACTAGACACGACTCATTCTACAAATATCAATATTCTTCAATATATATAAATACTTTTTTAGGCCACCAGCTGTACGCCAGCTGTATTTTTAAGTGACGCTTCGATCTGTTCTTTTAATCCAAAGTGAATACATGATCACAATCAGCTCCAGTGTAGGGCTGCACCTCACATTTATTATTTTCTCAATCAAGTAATCAGCTGATCATATTTGCTGTTAATTGTAATAATCACTTTTCAATCAAATGCCAGTAAAAAAGTGCAAAATGCTCTGAACAGTTTCCACAAGCTCAGTTTAACGTCTTAAGATTATTATGTTTTTTATTGCCGTAGATATGTCTTTAAAGAATAACCCCGTTTTCTCTCACGTGTACATTTTACAAGAAATATGGCCGGCGTATAATTTTAACAATATGTGATGTCCATGTCATCTCTTGCGACTGTCCTCCTGATCTGTGATGTGTCCCCCAGGCTGGACCCATGCCGAAACATGTGGCCTTCATCATGGATGGTAACCGCCGATTTGCACGTAAGAAAAACATGGAGCGGCAGGAAGGACATATGCAGGGCTTCAACAAGCTGGCAGATGTGAGGACACACTGGGTTTAAAGTTTGTCTCCTTCATAAACCTGTCACCTGGGCTTCAAATGGTTTGTCCCTGTATGTGTAATCTGTTGTTCCTTCCACACCAGACACTACGCTGGTGTAAACATCTCAACATCCAGGAGGTGACAGTGTACGCCTTCAGCATCGAGAACTTCAAGCGCTCTAAAGACGAGGTGGATGGGCTGATGGAGCTGGCCAAGCAGAAGTTTGAAAAGCTGTTGGAGGAACGGTGAGTTTCAAGTTGAGAATGATTTAAAATGTGGTTTTACTTCGCTGGTGCTTGTGGGATGTTTTAGTCACATTTTATACATCTTATGATTCACTGCTTCCTTAAAGTTGAGGGAACCAATTACAGTGCTGTGATGTTAAAGTCAGTCTATGCAAGTTTCCTTGTAAGACTGAAACTTTCAGTTGTTGCAAAATGAATCAAAATGTCTGTTCAATGCTTCAGGAGGGTTTTTTGATTTGGGAGGAAATATTTCAGTTGTTGTAATTTGACACAATAATAATCGACAACACTGACACAACCACCACCTTATTTCCCACATAGTAAGATATACAGTAGACAGATGCTAGGCATGCTAAGAGTCACACAGGCTGGTTTATAAACAGGAATGCACATTATCAATTATTTCTGTCTGACTCAGACTGTTTTGTCCTATTCATTATCTAATTAATTATTAATTAAGCTGTAACTTTGGTCCTAAGTGCGAAGGCAGATGAACGTTAACCCAGGGTGACTGCAGGTTTCTGGAATCTGCTCTGTGGAATCTAATGCTTTCTAACCTGCTGGCAAGTTTATGAACATGGTGAAATGATAAGTGGCTTGAGAGTTCAGTTACTTGTGGTTAAAGCCTGGAAGTGCTTACGAAGCACATTGCACTGTGTCCTAAGTCTTTCAAACTTAAACCTATGGGGATGATGGAGGTGGAGTCTAACAGACATAAACGCGTATTTTCACTTTTGGTATCGATTTCATCCCAGGTTTGGTCTTGAATTGAATCTAAGTGGTATAAAAGATGTGGCACTTTCAATATGTGAATCATGTTTTACAACCCTTGTGTTTATAGCTACATGGCCGCTGCTTCCAAGACAACGTTTTATGATGGTTAGTTGTTGTGTTGAACGTGTGATTCACCTCGAGCACACAAGACACTGAACTTCAGACTGTTTTAAACTATGCTCACAGACGACTATATAGACAATCCTTGTGTGTCTCTGTCTCAAATGTACACAGACACGTTTCACCGGCTGTGAACAAAAGACATGGTCGTCTTGTTCTCCCTGTTCTTCTTCTCCTCTTAACCCCCATCCTCTCTCTCTCTCTCCCCCTGCAGGGATAACCTGGAGAAGCATGGTGTGTGTATCCGGGTGCTGGGGGACTTAGATATGCTGCCGCTCGACCTTCAGCAGCTGATTGCCAAAGCTGTGCTCACAACCAGAGCTCACAACAAGTATGTTCATCAATGTGGTTCTACCCACCTGACATATACAGATTTTATTTTATATATTATTATTACGATTAATAACCACTTTATATAAAATCTTTTTTGCAGATGTTTCCTGAATGTGTGTTTTGCCTACACGTCACGATATGAGATCACAAATTCCGTGAGAGAAATGGCTTGGGGAGTGGAGGAAGGCCTGATCAAAGCAAGGTGAACAATTTAGACAATAAATAGTTAAACTCAAATCCATAACACGACATAAAGTGTAAGACATTAACCAGATGATGCTTTAATGAGCTCTGTGTGTCTTTGTGATGCTCAGTGATGTTTCGGAGGCGTTGCTAAGTGAGTGTCTGTACAGCAATAATTCTCCCAATCCTGACCTGCTCATCCGCACATCTGGAGAGGTGCGCCTCAGCGACTTTCTTCTCTGGCAGGTGAGGAAATTATTCAAGTAGGATTGAACTCTGGATTTCCAAGCTTGGTTGACTGTTTGGGAATCGCTGCAAACGAGTGATTTTCTGATACGAGGACCTGAGCTGTCACAATGTTAGTTCAACTTGTTTGTCCGGTTATGCTGCTTAAAATATTCACCTCCAAACATCACTTTGAATAAAGCTTCATTTTTTGTTTGCCTTTTCCCCATAGTTATGTTTA